TAACCTGGCTTCACTCTCTCCAGGATAAACAAAGGTGCTTAGAGTTGTTAAACTTGAAAAAGCAAATAATCCTTATCCTGACATAGAAAATCAAGTATATATTTTTAATTCAGCTTGCCAAATTTGGAGCATGTCCATTGAAGGAGGAAACAAATGACTTGATTTTTTGGAGGCAAAGTCAAGTGAAAGAGAAACATTTGACTGGAAGAACAAGGAAGAAATAAAAGCTGTAGAACCAGAGATAGTGTCTACAGGGAATTTTTTTCTTTCTTATTACTTCTCTTTTTGTCATCAAAGTCTTGAAAGGCTTCTTACCTGGAATAAAAAAAAAGTGAGTAATTAAAAGAGTCCTTAGAATAAAATGTTTGGCTCTGACAATTACGCAAATAGCATACAGGAGAGGAAGACAAGAAGATCTACTGCTTTTGGGTGAAGGGTAGCATTTAGAGTCCCCAAAAGCTCTCCAACATTGAATGGCGTATCTTGATTTATTTGTTCAGTTCTCAAAAAAAAAAAAAGAGCTAAAGAAGAAACCAAGATGTACAGGAGAGATCATTTCCCACTCAGAACCTTTGTTGTCTTCATTCCATTATAAACTGAAGAGTGTATGCGTCAATATAATGAGAATTCAAGCTGGTATAATCCTTTTTCTGTTGAAAAGCACTCTATTAGCAAAATACTTAACAAATAGAGAAATCATTAGTATTTGATGAAAGTATGAGAAGGCGAGAAGCTAGGTAATCTTAACACACTATGTTAATTAGCTGTGTTTGAGTTGATCCTTGCTCATAATAATCATACAGCAGATGGAAACCTTCTTAAGACATAGTGAAGAGAATGATCTGACTATGGAGAAGCATCATGTTAGGTTATCATAGGAGCTTGATTTAGATTTTTGAGAAAAGTGAGCGTGTTTATGGTTGACTTTGACAATTAGTTCAATATAGTGAATGAGGAAAACTTGGTTTTAGTGGATTAGAATAAAATGCAAAACAATTGAACCATAAGAGCAATTCTTTATTTAGAACTATCATTTTCAATATTAATTATATGCTGAAATATTTCCAGTGGAATTCTAAAATTTGTAGATATCTTTACTCCAATCCTGATGACTTTTATTTAATTGATACTAGGTGAAGTTTTAATCATAAGTGTTTTAGGGATTTCCTGTGAAAAATGCATCCAGGATTGGAAAGCACTGTGTAGTTTTCATATCTCTGACAATAAGGTCATGAAGTGCGAGAGATGAGATTTAGAAATAGCAATCAGTACATAGATTCTGGGTGGAAGATTGCTACCCTCTTCATCTTAGCTCTTCTTTGACTCTCTTTTTTGTAGAATTGGGATAATAGACATGCATATACTAGTGAATGTTGGAACTTCAGGGGATTTAAAATGCAGCATTTAACCCAAGCCAGTAGATTTTATTTTCTTTCTTTACTGTATATTAAGTGATTTGTCTGATTGTCAAAACTAACCATAAACAAGATCCCTTTAAAAATCCAAATCAATGAGAATGTGCAGGGGGAGGGGGAGCTTAATCATGGGGTTGTACAATTTGAAGGGTGGGGGGCGGGTGTGAAGAAAATGGAAAGAATTTGTTCTTGAAAAAAAAAATCCAAATCAGCGAAGGCAATAATACACAATAAGGGGTGGATTAGACACTGTAATTAATTAATTAATTAATTAATCAATCAATCAATTGATTAAATCAGTCAATGACAATTCAAGTTGTAAAAGAAAATGTTTATGAATTATTGTACAAAATCCAATAGCTTTTTCTTAAGTTTTTACTAAAAAAAAAAAAAAAGTTAAACACTTTTAAAAGGGAGGAAAAAAATCCAAGTCCAAACCAGTCTCCTATAACAAAAATAATGTTTCTTTATATTCAGATAGTCCCACTTACTATGTCCTATGTTTTAAGGTCATCTAGCTTCTTCTCATCTAATACTTTCATGAAGTATTTTCCAATTTTCTCTATTTTGCTAAAAGAATATTTTCTATAGATAAGAGATAGCAGCAACTTAAATTCTCATTGAATTCTTAGTATATACACTATTTCTAGTCATTAACAACCATTGGACATTTATAAATGACGGTTTTAGGTTAAACATGATACATAGTTATGGTTTACGGCATTGATTTTGTTCAGGAGGCCTATCATAGAGGGGACTTAATTATATTTTACCTTATTTTACAGAGGGAGAAACTAGGGTAAAGGAAACAAGTTCCCAAGCTTACACTGGTGAAGGGGAGCCTCTACTTAGACTCATTCAAGGAAGATTTGTTAATTTGACTATTATTCAAATTTACATACCAACCAGTAACATTAAAAATAAAGAATTGAATATTTCTACCACCTTCTGCAGTCTAAAAATTGATCAAATATGTAATCAAGATGCATAAGTAATAATAAACAAGAAGGATTGGCGATTGGAAATATGGTTTTGGTGATAGAAACATTGAAATTATTTTGAGGAGCTTGCATTATATAAATATGTAAGATGTTTGATTTATTGTAAATAATTTTTTTCAGAACCTAAATTGGTGACTATGCACATGGAGTTAACCAGATGGAATACACAGGAATTAAATAGAATGTATCTGTGGAAAGAAAACAGGACCAGGGGCTCACTATGGAACAAGCCATCAATTTCTTATATGCAAGCTCTATTTAAAGCAAAACTAAACAAAAATTAAAATCCATTAGACAGAAAGCACTGCCTTGAGTAAATCCCACCTAAATTTAGAGACCATCTCAATAACAAATTTGATAGATTGAACACTAATGACTGAAGATCAGATGAGTTGTGGGATGACATGATGAGTATTAACCGTAAAGAAAAGAAAAGATTATTTATGAGACAGGAAAGAATTAAAAAACACAACTGACTGTCCTAAGAGACTCTAAAACTTGCTGTAGGACATTTAGAATCTAAATGAGCAGAAGAGATGATAAAGATTCAAAGGGCAGCTCAAAAAGGCAAAGCAAAGTATTACAATGATTTGTGCAAATACCTAGCGTTAGAAAGCCAAAAGAGAAAAATTGAAGTCTATAATAGCAGTACTGAAGAATTCTATTTATATCGATGATACAGAAAGCATAGGAAAAAAGATGGAAGGAATACATAGATCACAGTACCAAAAAGAATTGGTTAGTGTTACAACACCCCAAAAGTGGTATGTGAACAGCAACCAATGGTACTGAAGGAAAAAGTCCAGACTGCACTAAGGTATTGGCAAAAAACCAAGGTTTCAAGACTAGCTAGAATACTAAAGAAGATACTTTAATAAACTTTTGTGGCAGTAGGGGTGCTCAGTCATCTATACTAAGAAATTTGTAGAACAGCTACATAGCGTGCCAACTATAATAGAACCATATTTATGTAGTTGTGGGGTTTTTTTTTAAAATTAAAAAGTGAAAGGTGATAATAAGAAAATGTGAAGAAATGATTCAGAATACGAACACTTTTTGGAGGGTTGTAAATGCGAATTATAAAACCAGTTAGGAACCAACTGTAAGTGTAAAGAAACGTTGTGCCTTATTTTCAGTTACTCTATGGTTTTTAGCTTCTGAGATACCATTTTTTAAATGTTGTATAGAGGAATATTTCATATACTTTTAAAAAAATATTTACATAATTTATATAAAAATTAAGATGTTGAATTTCAGAAAAGATTCAATAAAATGAAGAAATTATTGAACAGTATAATTAATATTATTTGCGTGTAAAATATTACTGAGATTATTTAAAAACAAACAAATAAACACGAGTGGAGCATAGAAAGAGAACTGCCAGAAATTCAGGCTGGATTCAGAAGAGGTAATAGGACAGGGCTATTACTGATGATGTCACATGAAGTTGAAAATACCAGAACGATCTTGATTGGTATTTTACCAAATACATAAAGCCATTCATCTGTGTGGTCAGAATAAATAATGTAGAACATTGAGAAGAATGGGGATTTCAGAACCTTTTAATTGTGCTCATGCTGAACATGACCCTCAAAGCAGGCTGAACAGAACAAAGGAATGTTGCATAGTTTAACATGATGGAAAGTGTGTCCCAGGGTTATTTTTTTTTAACCACATCTGATCAGCTTGTATGCTAAGCAAATCTAAGAAATTGGACAATCTAAAGAATGTGGCATCAAGATTGGAGGAAAACTCCTCAACCATCTGGATTAGAGAGATTTGATAACACAACTTTGCTTGTTGAAAGTTAAGCAGATTTGAAGCATTTACTGAAGATCAAAGACTACAGCTTTCTCTATGGATTATCCCTCAGCATTAAGAAAACAGAAATCCTCACCACTGGACAATAGGCAATATCATAATAGACAAAGAAACGATTTAAGTCCTTCAGGATTTCAACATCCACAATCAGCGCTCATCATAGAAACAGTCAAGAAACTGAAAGATGTATCAAATGGGAAACATCTGCTGTCAAGGATCTCTTTAAAGAGAAAGAACACTTTAAAGAATAAAGGGCATGTAATTCAAGCCATGGTATTTTCAGTTGCTTCCTATGCATCTGAAAGTTGGACAATGAAAGAAGAATTGAGGTATTTCAAGTGGGGGGCGGGGTTGGAGAAGGGTATTGACTATCCCATGGACTATCAAAGGAACAAACAAATCTGTCTTGGAGGAAATGCAGCCCCAGTGTTCCTTAGAAGAAAGGACGGAGAACCTTCATTTCACCTAATGGGCGTGTTGTCCAAAGGGACCAGTTTTTAGAGAAAGACATCATGATGAGAAAGATAGAGCATCAGGGAAAGAAATGAAGACCATCATTGGACGGAATTGACCCAGTGACTGCAAGAATAGAGCTGAGTATGGCTGAGATCATGAGAATGGCACAGGATAGGGCAAGGTTCCGATCTGCTGTTCATATACCACAGGCAACCTCATGGCACCTAAGATCACACCATATTAAAGGTCCTTGCTATGACTGGAATGTACTCACATTTAGCACTGAGGTCATCAACTCTGCTCTGACCTATCTCAAAACTTCAGTGTCCTTTTCAACAACAGGGAATTTTAACAAAGGGGCTGGTTCCAATTCTGCTGGAGCTGGTGATAGATGAGACGTCTTGGTGCTGTTCTCCAAGGCCGATGGAGCGAAGGTAGCCTCATGGGCCACATGTGAGCAGAGAACCTGCTGTTGTCCAACATCAGGAGGAAAGGCTACTCCAGAGGCCATGGCTGGGTGAATTGACATCTGATCCTTTGTTCCTCTTGTCCAGTTAAGTGGATACAGGTCTGTGTGGGGGTCAGGTGGTTCTTCCATGAGAAGCTCAAGTTGCTGAAAGGAAATCAGAAAAAACAGCAAAAAATGGATAACACACATGGTAGCAAACATTTAACACAATATGATTGCACCTAGTAGCTAACCTTGGGTTCTGGGTAGGGCGTTCATGAGATGGTAAATTCCTTGGAGTGGGGTTTGCCAGCTAACAGCTTATTGTGGCAGGGACTTGGCTCATATCAGCTGAAAAGATCATGCCTCTGTTCCTTGATAGTCTTTGTCGATAATGCAGATCCCAGGCACAACAGAACAATACACTGCCCCCATGATTGGTGGGGGATGGAACCATTGCAATCCACAGGATTTTTTTTAGTTGATTTTTGGAAGTAGTTAATCAACCTGGTAATCTTAGTAAACCTTTCTGAAACCTGTCCAACATCTTAGAAGCCGTTAAACTTACACTAACCAGGAATCATAATCTGATTAATGCTTACTCCTAAACCCTGTTTCATGACAACACCACCCCTAGGATACAAAACAGAGAGAGCTGAAATAATAGAAAATGGCCCCAAGCCCTTCAAACAGCTGTGACTACCTCCAACCAGCTAACATAGAATGGATAAATACATTTCTCTTGTCTTTGTTGTGTGCTGACACCAATTGAGGCTTAGCCTGCTTTCACCGAAGGGCACATTTTAAATAAAGCATATTTGCTGCACATATTTGCTAGGGTTGCTTTTGGACTTTGTAGTGAATTTGGACCTTTCAATATGGAAGTTAGATGTCCTGAATTCTAAACCTAGAAAGCCATCAGATAATGGTGACCCTGAGCAAATAAATTTATATCCTTGAAGGACATTGTTAACATACTAACAACCGGTATACAAGTCTAGTGCTGAAAATGATCACACACATAATTCTCATTTAACATGTTCTCTGACAGTGGGCAGGATACCGTCCCATTGCACACCCGGTGGCCTCATACCAACAGAATCCCCTCTCGGATTTGCCGAGCTCGGTCTCCCAACTGAAACTCCAGCTCCTCCACCTGCTGCCTCAGGGCCTTGCGTAGTGTCTGCAGTTGCTGGATCTCCTCCCTGCAGGTGAGTGATAGAAAACAAGAACTAACCGTCACCGCAGGTGTAGCCTTGCACAGCCTGTCTTCTAATGTAGGTCACTCCTTTGAAGTGTTTAAAAAAGAGAATGTCACCTTCTTTATTTGCATCACTTGCCAGCAGAAGTATATTTCTAGGGCAGGTTATTTTATTTTTTTTAACACCTCGCTGGCAGTATAATTTATGTACCATAAAATTCACCTGCTTTAAAAGTACAATTCAATGATTTTTAAAATACATTTCCAAGTTGTGTAACCATCACCACTATCCAGTTTAGAAAATTTCCATTTTCCCACTAAAATCCTTTCGACTCCTTTACAATTAATCCCCATCCGCACCCAAGTAATCAAAGGTCCCAGCCCCAGACAATGGCTAATCTACTTTAGAAACATTTTTAATCTAGAAGCTAGTGTGAGTTTCCAAAATCTTCAAATCCCCAACGCCTCAATTTGCATGGGCCCTATTCACATTGATTAAAATGGTCCTATCGTAATCCCTCCTCCAAACTGACTGCCCTTCTCCTGACCTTTTCTGATATCACTGGCCTAAGAGAATATGTGTAGCTAGCTAGCGAATGGGTCCTCCTCTCAGGCTCCCACAGAGAAAGCAGGAGAAGAAGCTGAGAGCAGAGGAAAATATGGCAGCTTCCTCCTCATTAGCCCTGCTCCCTGATGCTCATCTGCCCTGACCTGATTACCTCTCCTTGCTCCAGGTGTGTGCACTGGTACTTGCTTTTATGACTCCCTTAGATAATTACCTCTCCTCTTCTGTCATGTCCCTGGAAAAGAGCGCCTGTTGTCCCATTAGGTGCTGTTCAATTTCCTCTAAATGGTCCCGGAAACCCTGGCATACTGTCTTCATGGTTTCCATCTCATAGGCTGTGCACTGAGAACAATGGAAAAAGGGCTGAGAATAACTTTCCTGGAAGGAAGTCCTGCATGATTTTACCAAAACGCCCCACAGTGAGGCCTGCCTCCCTAGTTGGTCTCAGCTGTTTGCCAAGGAGCTTATACATGGACTTGAATTTCCCCCAAAGAAGAATTGCTGGAACCCTAACTCTTCTTAGTGTGGAAATAACTGTCTTTGTGAATGACTTTTCTTTGTTACGTTAATGAGGGCCTCAGTGTTGGGTCTTCTAAACCGAAGCACTTTGGAGTTACAGAAGGAGCAGATTAGACACAGAAGGATGTGCAATTGGGGAAGACAGACACCTTATGGTGGAATCACAAGGAACTGAGGAAGGCGTGAGCTGCAGAACCTGGAAGAGACAAGGCTCTTCTACAGCTGCTGCCGTGCGTTAGGACGTCTAGCTTTCCGAATCGAGAAGATACATTTCTCTTTTTGAAAGCCGCCCACGTGTGATATTTGTGCCATAGTAGCACTGGGTAATGAAGACAGAAAGGGTATTGCAAGGAAACTCTGGGAAAGAGACAAAAAAGCTCCCAACTTCTGGTTGCTTGGAACTAGGGCTGGGACTAGAACTCAGAAGTTGTGGGTAGCCCCTTGGGTAAAGATCCTTATGTCTCATTCTGGAGGGACAGTTTACAGCAATGTGAGAATGAGAAGTGAGGGCCAGAGGGCGGGCTTGGGCTGAAAAAAGTTGAGTCTTATTTTATGTTTTAACGCACTGTATTAAATATGTAAGGTCTTATCTACATGGGTTTGATTACAGAAACTAATAAAGTATTCTCTAAATAAAAAAAAAATTGAGGCTAACTACTGAGTCTCAATAACACAGAACACATCTGTTCAGATGCTACGTGTTTGATTAAAGAAAATCTGCTTAGAAGATTTTTCTTATTAGTTTTAGCCCTGCTTTACCAGAGTCCCGGGTGGCAGGACTCTGCTGGGTCAGCTCCACCTGGCTAAATTGCCCAACCAGACTCAGACCAGGGTAGGTGTAGAACTGGCTCTCCTGGAGTGAAGTCTAGAATGTAACTTCTCTCTAAATCTCACTCTCCATTGTTTCTGATAAGAATTAACTTCTAGACCTAACTTCATATGATTAATGCTTTGGCCTTAGTTTTCCTATTTATTGCAACCTGGTGACACAGGGGATCTACATTCAGTTGCTAACTAAAAGGTTAGCAATGCAACCCATCAGCTGCTCTGCAGGAACAAGATGTGACAGTGCAGACCACAGCCTTGGATGCCCTCTGGGGTGGCTCTACTCTGTCCTACAAGGTCTCTGTGAGTGGACACGGACATAGCAGCAACAAGTGGTGATGTAGTCCATAGAAGTTATGTTGCCCACACAAAGGTGATGCCTATGTGACTGTTCCAACACACCAGTGACTCTGTCGGAGAAAGATGGGAAATCTCCTCCCACATGAATTACAGTCTCCAAAACCCTGCCAGAGTTGTCAGCTATGAGTTGGTTCTAAGAACATTGGCAATGTGTTTGAGCTTTAATGAGTTTTATTGAAATGTTATCCTCTTGATATTCCCAAATGCAGATCATTTGTTAGGTACTCTGCTGAGTTGCTGAGCTTTCACCAAATGTCACTCTTGTTTTCCAGCTCAGGCCAGAATATTCTTTTAATCCATTCATGATCCAGAAGCACAGGGCCATTACTCAACTGACCTTGAGTATGGCAAATGTCTGTTGAACCCTACTGCTATCTCGGTTAGACCTGGCCCTGGAGTCCTCCCACATCAATGAGGCTGAAACTGTGGCTGTCTTTAACTATTCTTACTATCAGGACAACTATGTTTACTATGAGAATAGCATCTAAGGGACTGTATTCAGGTTACAGTCTCCCCTGAGGCATGAGTTAGAGTTCCACTCCTGACAGAGTAACTATTTAGCCTAGTGGTAGATCACTGCCAACCCATATGCAGGAGATTTGAATCCACCATCTGCTCTGTGGAAAAAAGATGACAATCTCCTTTTGTATGATTTACAACCTCTGAAAATCTGCTGAAGAGTTAGCTATGAGTTTGTTCCAACTTGATGACAATGGGGTTTTGCTGAATTTATTACTGGAATACAATAGTCTAAGGGTAATAATACATCTAGTAAAAAACAAAAAAAAAACACCCCCAAAACAAAAACACACCACATTTCTCAGCTCCCCTTACAAATGGGATAGTAATTGAGATAGAAGATATAGACATATATTGGACTTCTTGGAAACTCTTTAGATTTATCTGATAGAACTTTTGTACCATTTCTTCTTTCTCTTTCCATAGAAACCAACCCTACATCCCTGTTTCTAGGCATCATAATTCCTTACCATTTTTCCCACACTAGGAGGCCTTGATCTTGGCAACTTGATGGACATTTTCCTCCTCTAGAATTGTCATAATATTTTGATTATTTTCTTAGAAACAATATTTCTGCCTTAAAAACTCATAATTCTTAAACTCTGAGAGTTTGCTTTTGAGTCTGTCCTTTAAGTTTTGTAGCAGTCAATGCCTCCTGAGGTTGGAATTGCCAGTGCCTCTAAGAGAGAAAGATGGGCAGTTAAGATTCACAACCTCAGGAGCTTGATGGAGAGTTGGAATTGACTCCAAGACAACAAGGTTTAGTGATTGTCTTTTTCAAACTAGGAAATATCTTGGAGATAATGAAGAATTTATAAAGAAATTGTTATTTTTCCCTTTTAACTGTTGTTATGTATTGTCAAGTTGGGACTGACTCATAGCTGACCCTATAGCTACGTTTCAGAGGCTGTAAATCACACAGCAGGGGATTACACATCTTTCTCCCCTTGGACAGTGGATTAGCCAGCACTTCTCTGTGGTCAAAAAATGACAGATCTCAAACCCGAGTCTTTTGGTTCTTCTCCCCTTCAAGATCTGAGTCACAGCAGGGAATATAAAGCAGCTGGATACAAGAAGCAGGTAAGGGTCCTTTAGGAATAAAATCATTGAGTCGCCCTAGTAGACATTTACAAGGTAAACAAGACTAAGCAAGTGCTTCAAATTTACTTCAAAGTTCAGTGAGCTAAGTGGTGTGGACATAAGGTGCTCAAATAGAGTAAACATAAGCCTTCAATTTCATACTTGGTCTTGTTAGTTTGACATATCCTTTGCAGGTGCAAAGTTTGAAGGGCTTGAAATAACAGGTGGTGTGTTCAATTCCTGTCAAAGGGAGTTAAGTGGAAGATTCTGAAAGTCTGCCATCTTCTGGTCATTTGGAAATACTTTTCAAAATACATTTTCTTCCTAGATACACACTCAAACTCCACCCTTTCAAGCTCACTGCTAGTGAGTCAGAATCAACTCACAGCTGACCCTTCAGCAGGTTTTCAGAGCCTGTGAATCGTGCAGGCTATTATCCCTCTTTCTCTTGAGAAGCAGCTCTTGGATTTGAACTGCCTATTTATGAGTTGACAGTTTTCAAAAGAAGAGAAATCACAGAACTCAATTCATTGCCCCTCAGATAGAGCTAACTCATAGCTCTGTGGGATCTCCAAGGCTGTACATTCTGTGATGGTAGTTGCTCATCTGTCTCCCCTAGAGAAGCTGGTATAAATCATAGCCTAGAAAAAAATTGAAAAATATTTAAAAATCTAACTTCCAATATAAAGGCTGGATTAAAACTCAAATCCAATGCAAACCTTCTCTGTTGACCAAGAATCATTGAAATAAACTTTACTTTTACATATTAAGTGCAGCACAACACCACTCCAAAGCTATGGACTTTTGATTGTGAATTGACCCATATGGACTTTAAAATTGGTATGCTTTTCATTGTCTTTAAATCTAAATAATTAACATTATAGAAGACTTTTCTAACACCAAAAATCTTCTCTGTGATATATTTAATTTTCATCTCTGGAAATATTTGCCTTCCCATTAGCAAATTAAACTGCTTGCTAATCAAGTCACTTTTGCTATTTGATATATACTTTCCTCTCCCTTAGATGAAATCACAAGCCCAGCCAGATTTCCTTAATTTTCAGAACAAGAATGTAAACGATGCCGATAGTTGTAGAGGGGCTTCAGGCCTTTTGTTCAAAGGGTCGCTATGAGTCGTGCTCAACTTGAAGACAATCAACAACAACAATATATATGTATATTCTTGTTTTCTTTTCAACGGAAAATGGTAATAAGTTTATTACAGGAGCAGTAAATACTATTACAAAGAAGTGCTCTGTGTACCATGGCTTTCATTTGTTTTTTGTCAGATGGGCTCAGAAATGGTACTTTGTTGATATGAGTAAAGAGAGTTCTTTTGTATGATTAAGTATATGAGCACATGAAGAGCTTCCTCTTGTTGAGAAACATTATGATGTTCCAGAAAGAGCACAAGCCCTCCTCCTGGCCTCACGTGGAGGAATGGAGAGAGTCTGACTCACTCAGCACTGGCCATTATCCTTGGAATAATGAATTTATTACTATGTTGATTTTATTGGATTGATTTTGGTCCGTGTTCTAAATAATCTTTGATTGCATTTATGGAGGTTTCCATAGTGTAGTACTTCTGTAATTACTTGCTTTGTCTTTCAAATAACCACTTTCTAAACTGTTCAAATCCATGAAAAGCTCCAAGGGAGACAAAGGCAATCCTACCCTTGTAATTTGCAGGAAACCTGATGGAAGTTTGCAGTAAGACAGAACTACCTCGATTGCAGTGAGCTTCAGTTGAGTGTTAGATTAGATTTCATTATTTGAAAAGTTGGCATCTCTTCACCTGCAGTGAATTATCACAGTTTGTGTCAGCCAAATGTGAATTTGAACTGAATCTACCACTTAGCACTTGAGAGTTGGGACAAGGATTTAAATTCTCTCAATTCTAGTTTCTTCATTTATAAAAGAAAAAGAACCTGGCACATAATAAATAAATATTATCTAGATTAAACTGATAATCTTAATAAGGTGGTTATCATGTTGTTGTGTACTGTAGAGTAGAAACCAACTCATAGCTGACCCTCTGGTGGGTTTTCAAAGGCAGGGGGGAGATTGCCCATCCTTCTCCCGCAGAGCAGGTGGTGACCTTGAACTGTGTGTCTTTGGGATTGCAGGGCATCTTCTTGCCACTAGGCCACCAGAACTAGTTATCATAGGTACTCAATATACAATTGTGGAATTTTAAGCACAGGAGAGTAAACTATCAGGTAACTAATATAGTAGGTATCAATTTCTCTCTGATCACCTACAGCTCCACAGCACTATATCCCTTGTGCTATAGAAAATACAACACACACTCTCTATACATGTAGTTTAATGTAAGATAATCTTATCTTAACTTTTTAATCAACATAATTTCTTATTTTAATAATGGTTTTGTTGAGTGAGGGCTTGCTGGACGTAATTAAAAGTTTGTTGATGAATGAAGGGCCAATGAGATGAGGGCTGGCACGAGCTCTGTTGGTGTAGTCTATTAGGGAACTCTGTTGACATAGCTCTGTTAACCCAGAGGTGATGATTTAGGAGGGTCAACTGTGAATTGGTTTCCACTTGACAACAGTGACGTTAAAAGTTTTGACAACAGGTAGGATCATTCCGTTCTCAATAACATCCACATCCAACTTAATTTACAGCAAACTTGGCAGGAGTTGGCCAGAAATTTCCCTACTTTACATGAGAAGTTATAGATTTAAGACATAAACAATAGTATAAGTAGTAACAAAAATTGACACAAGTAAAGCCCACACAAATATTAGCTAGACTCTTCTATGTGCCACTGTTCTGAGTGCTTTGCAAGCTTTATCTTTGTTATGTCTAAAGATAATGCTGTTTTAGTAGGACAGTGTCCATATTTTAAAAAATAGGAACTAGAGCCAGCAAAATGGTTTGTGAAAATTTTCACATTTCAGTGGATTTAGGACAAAGAAACTTCAATTCAACTTTGCAGAACTGGTGAAGTGCAGACATGTTAATCTTTATAACCTTAGCTACACAACTTTTATGCCTTAATTCTCTCATCTATATAATGGAAATTCCTTACTATTACAGGTGATTAGAAACATCAAGTAGGAGGAAATACCACAAACAATAAAGCATTCTACAGATTTCACTCATGATTTCAAAGAGAAAGATGAGCCCTGCGATCTCACACTCAGAAAGGAAGGCCCAGCACTATCTTTGAGGCATTTAATGTTGGTGAGTTTGCCTTTTCAGCTTTACAGACACGAGTACTTACTGAACACAGCTCTCTCACTGTAGTGTCCTGGAGGACTTTCAAAGTCTTCATGAACTTATCCTCTAGATGATGATGGCTGTGTGGACACAGACATTGTCTATAGGCTGAGGATGCAGGGTGAGGACCTGGTCCCTCTGTGTGGCAATGGTGATGGTGATGACAGCAGGTGCAACAGTGGGCAGATGAGCTGTGGCAAGTGCCTAATGAGTAGGTACTAGGGAAGCCTGTGTCCAGAGAAACAGATTTCGTGAGGGGCTGGTGTCCATGTACCAGTGTCTTATTACTTGTGATTGAACAATGATGCCAAGTTCTGGGTTCACACAAATAAGTCTGAACAGAAGCATCCCTGCACTGTGTTTCTTCTCTCTTCAACCTTGGTCCTGATGTGGCAATAGGGTCATACATAGTGCATTCTAAAGATAATCCTCGAGAATCTGTCCCCAAGGCCACAGCACTCTGAGCAGCTGACACCAGATTGGAGGACATATGGATTGTCATAGACCTGGAGTTGTCAGAGTTTGAGTCAGCATTAGAAGAAATGTGTCTCACCCCAGCTTCTGCCCTAAATGATCTTTGGTCTAAAGCGCTACCCCTTGGCTTCATTTGGGGGGTATCTCCAGCCAGTTCACTTGGGTTAGAAAGACCCTTTTTACAGCTTCGAATAAGGTCATCTATATAGGATGAGACGTCACTGTGCTTGGTGCAAAGCTGTGGTGGACTTTCTGGCATCAGGATTGTCCTGTCGATGTCAGAGCAGAGCTTGCTACTTTCTGGTTTTAGAAACTCCTCTTTTACTTCGGTGGTAAAGGGCACTGTCAGCCCCAGAGGGCGTTCGTGCTTGGAAGCGTCTGTACCTCCAATGGCCTCATGGTCAGAGTTGGGCATTCGCACGAGTGGTTGCAGATGGCTATCCTTTCCCGTGTGGTCCCTCCCAGCTGGGGTCTTGTCCAAGGCCATGTCCGGGATCAGCAGCTCTAGTGGGCTCATGGTGGAATCAAGAGGATGAGTTTCTTCCTCCCCCATAGATACTGAGTTCTTTCCTTCTAAGAGGCTCCAGTCTTGGCTTGAAAAAGATGTGCTCACCAGACTCTTGGAATCTGACTCATCAGACTCTTGCTGACAGTCCTGGGATGATGTTAAGCAGAGGCTTTGATCCCTAAGACACTGGCTGCTTGGCCCAGAAGGCATCTGCAGAAGAAGCCAATAAGACAAATGGGTCAGCAGTGTGGGGGAGAACAGGTTTAGGAAGTGGTTTTCATCTTTCTTTGTTTTCTTATTGCTATAATCGATTAAGAAGTAAGGGTTGTAAACTTGAGGGTTTTCCTCTAATCTGCCTGAGAGCCTCCTATCTGAGGCTGAGCTTCCTTGTTTAGGAAACTCAAAAGAAAATATTAATGAAGGAACAATAACTTTCTGACACCTCATCAGGTGTGGGTCCATCATATCCTGCCTCTAAGTATTGGTTGGGCTTTTGCAATCTCAGATAGTAAGTAGTGAGCCAGGGTAGGGAGACCAGGAGGCTGACAGGACTGAGGGAGTTTGGAGTTAACAATGAGGTCTTTAAAGCCTCAAGCACTTTTTACCTGCAGAGGCAGTGGTTCTGGCAGCTCCTCCAGGAACCCACTGCTGTCAGATTGACAGCTATTTGCTCTGTTCACCCCAGAACCTGCAGAAAGAAATCAAGAGGCTTGGAGGTTAGTAAAGTAAAATCACACTGCCAATAGGACTGGAAACAAATCTTCTGTGTATCTGATATGCCACAGATACACAATAAATGCCACTGTTCAGAAGTATAGATGAATGATGTTGTTAGGTTCTGTCCAGTCAGGTACAACTCATCGAGACCCTATGAAAAAAGTTTCGAACCCTGTTCTGTCCTGTGCCATCCTCATACTTCCTGACACACAAGAGCCCATTTCAGCAGTCACCATGTCAATTCACCTGGTTGAGGGTCTTCACCTCCTTCACTGACCTTCCACCCTTCCCAGCATCATGACATTCTCCTTTAATTTTCAGAGGCCATGCAAAATTGTATCCCTGTTTCTTGACAGAAGGGAGCTTGATGGCATAATCCACAGACAGTTGTGCTGCTAACCCAAAGGCCTTACCTCTGTGGTGTTTTGGTTCCACCAGAGGCATGGCCTGTACATTTAGCAGAAGAGAGGTGTGTAAGCTCCTGTCATAAAATTTAGAGCCTTGGAAATGGCTGGAAGGTCAGCTGTAAGTTGGTTCTGACTCAATGGCAATGTGTTTTTCTGATCTCTTACAAAACTAAATAAGAAGACAATCCAGAGAGATTGATTCCTTTGACTTAAACACCATTCTAGTAAAAGAATACACACACATAGACCCGTAAACACATGTGCACACTACCCTATTTGACACACTGCTGTCAGGCCAGTTCCAAGTCTTAGCCACGTTCCATCAAGTTTCCACAGTTGAAACTCTTAAAGGCAGAAGAATGTCAATAGAGTGACTGGTGGATTTGAAGTAGTGACCTTTTGCTTAGCCGTGTAATATGTCATTATGCCATCAGAACTCCTTTATAATGTATGTTAGTTTGTCATGTTTATGTATGGCAGCTTAGTAGTGATAGTATTGCCAGTGCAAAGATATGTGGTCCAAATCCACCAGCTGCTCTGTGGGAGAAAGATGGGAAATCTCCTCCCATATATTTTACTGACTGCCTCTGAAAAACCCAGAAGAGGGTCAGCTATAGGTCAGTTTTTATTCAATGATACAACAAGAATACAGATATAGATATATAAATGTTGTTATGTGTCATTAAATTGACTACGACTCATAGTGACCCTATGAACAAAAGCTCTGACCTCTATCATGTGCTGAACCAACATCACCATTTCTCATACACCTGCTCTCATTGCCACAGCCACTGTTTCAATCCATCTTATCCAGGGCTATCCTCTCTGACCTGACCCTCTACCCTTTCAAACCTGATGTGCTTCACTAAGGACCGGTCCGTCTTGGCAATATGCCCAAAATACGTGAGATGAAATTTCAAAACCCTTGACTCCAAGGAGCAACCTGGTTTCACCCTCTCCAGAACAGATCTGTTTGTTCTCTTGGCTATCCATGGTATGTTCAATATTCTATAGCACCACACCTCAAGAGCATCAATTCTTCTTCTGTCATCCTTAGTCATTGTCCAGCTTTCAGATGTCTAGTAAGTAATTGAGAAGATCATAGCCTGAATCAGGTGAATCTTAGTCCATAGACTGAAATAAATCTTGCTCTTTAGCACTATGATGAAGTCCTTGACAGCTGCCTTTCCCAAAGTAACTCAACTCGTCTTGATTTTCTGACTGCTGTTGCCAAAAGAGTTGATTGTGGATCTGAGCAAGGTGAAATATTTAAAAACCTCAATCTTTTCTCCTTCCATCACAATATCTCTATCTCTATTTCTATATCTCTCTATCTATCATCTCTATCATATATATTTATATTATATCTGCAATATTCTGACTATTAACTGCACTTGAACTCTTTTCACATAGTCACATTTCCATGTTTTTACTAGGAGTGAGAGGTTGGAATGAAGAAGGAGAGAATACTAAGAATTGTGGGCAATTAAGCACTTTGCAAACATGTTGTTATTGTTAGGTGCTATCGAGTCGTAGATGACTCAGAATTACCCCATTAATGAAAGACCTGAACACTTGTATAACCATCATTTCTCTAAGTTCATAGAGATTCCGGAGGCAAGTTATTTCGGAAGTGGATGTCATTCCTGCTTCCAAGTTTGTTTTAATCAGGGAGCTCCACCAGACACTGTCCACTGTGCATAACCATTATTACATTGTCACATGTAAACATGAGTATTTGAAATTTCAAATACATCTGCAGCTTATTCTGTAAATACTATATTATCATTGTAGAATGGGTGGAATAAGTAGGTGTCTGCTAGAAGGTTACTAGATTAAAGAATAAGTTCAAGATTCTTTTCCTAGAGATTTAGTGAGAAATCATTTCAGCAACCCTTTCTTTCTGTGAGTTTGAACACAAGATGGACCATAAACTATGAAGAATTCCTGGTACCGGGACATCATTACTAGTTAAACTTTCAAAATAATCTATAAGCCACAACAATTTCTCATATCAAATGGTTGTTCTTCTCTTTCTTACAATCTGTTGTTGTTATGTGCCGTCGAGTCGTTGCAACTCATAGCGACCCTATGCACAACAGCCCTAAACCCTGCTCTATCCTGTGCCAACCGTACTGCCTCTGACACACCCATCCCAATTACCCCAGTCACCGAATCAATCCATCTCATAGAGGGTCTTCCCCTCCTGCACTGTCCCTCCACCCTCCCAAGCATGATGTCCCTCTCCAAGGACCCGTCCCTCCTGGCAACATGTCCAAAGTATGTCAGACGAAGCCCCAGAATCCTTGCTTCCAAGGAGTAGCTTGGTTTAATCCTCTCCAGGATGAATCTGTTTGTTTTCCTGGCAGTCCATGGTACATTCAGTACTCTTCTCCAGCACCACAGCTCAAAGGCATCAACTCTCCTTTTGTTCTCCCTAGTCATTGTCCAACTCTCTGATGCATAACAAGCGATTGCAAAGACCATGGCCTGTATCAGGTGCACCTTAGTCTCCAGAGAGACACCGTTGCTCCTGAGTACTTTAGAGAGGTCCCTAACAGTAGACTTTCTCATCGCGATACGCTTTTTGATTTCCTGACTGCTGGTGCCAAGAGTGTTGACTGTGGAGCCAAGCATAAAGCTGTGAACAATCTCAATCTCTTCACCATCCATCCTGATGCTGCCAATTGGTCCAGTGGTGAGAATCTTTGTCTTCTTGTCATTGAGCCTCAGTCCATACTGAAGGCTGCAGTCCTTGACCCTTGGCAGCAAGTGTATGAGGTCCTCCTCAGTTTCAGCAAGCAGGGTTGTGTCATCTGCATAACGTAGATTGTAAATAGATCTTCCACCAATTCTGATGCCACAATTCTCCTCATAGAGACCAGCCTCTCGGATATAAATATATATTTAGAGCATTTGAACAAAATAGTATATTCAGCCCATTCAACTATATGATATTGGCTTCCGTGTGTGTTTCAAAAGAAAACAATATCTACACAATATAAAGAGTCTCTCAAATGTAGACAGTGTACTTTTCTTAAAAACAAATAGATAGATAGATAGATAGATAGATAGATAGATAGATAGATAGATATTTGGGATACAACTGTTACCTTTAGTTAAGTGCACTTTGAAAAGCAGGAAAGGAAATGGCGAAATTCATTGAAATGTATTTAGGAAATAATAAGATGTTGAGCAGCTCCCTTTAGGGGGGAAGGTGGGATGGACTTGGACATAGTTCTCTTAGGAGGCAGAGTTTATTTATTTTGAGACTCATGTTGAATGGCACATACCTGAACCATTTTGAGAAATTCACCAAGCAAAACATGAGCCAGTTTACAAATGATTTCACATTATGTCTGTGAGAGATGCCATCGAGTTTATTTTTGATGCATTGAGACCACATTGTTTCTAGAGGGAGTACTGTGCAAAACACACACCTCACACTACCAGAGGGGGTAACATGAAAATGACTTGAAGGTCTTCGGCAGCAGTGGTCACTAAATTTGGTGTTACCCATCCCCTATGTGATAACATACCATTGTTCTCTCCAGTCACTGGCCAGTCTGGGTGCACTCTCCACCCTGGAGAGAGGAGGGGTTTTGTTTTGGTTGGCCAACGGGAGTGAGAGTAAATGTAGGTGGAGCGGGAGTGAGAGTAAATGTAGGTGGAGCAGTAGGGCTATCAGGGCTCCACAATACCTGAACCCAGGGGTGGGGTTGAGGCTGGTCTTTTCCTCCTACAAGAAGGGAGGTTCCCTGGACCTTGAAGTTGATGCATGACATCAACTCTAGTGATTCCACTGTAGTGACCTCAAGTGACAAATAGAACTGTCTCAGCAGGGTTTTTAGGAAGCCATCATTTTCTGGTAAGCACCAGACCACCACTATTCTGTGGGAGAAAGATGTAGCAATCTGGTTCCATGAATTAATTTAAGTCACAAAAATCCTGTGGCTAATTCTACTCTGTCCTACAGAGCAGTTATGCCTGGAATGAAAAAAATGAAAATTATTGCTTCATTAAATCATGATTATAGAAGAGACGTAGGTATTTCTACTGTGGAGTAGCTGTTGTTGTTATGTGTTCTCCAGACATAACCAACCTATAGCTAACCCTCCTGCAGCCGTTCAGAGGTTACAAATCACAGGAGAGGAGCAGCTAGGTAGTGGGTCTTTCTTCCATGGAGTATCTTCTTCTCATAGAGCAGCTGGTGGATTTGAAATACCCTTGGGTCAATAAGACAACTCCTTACCACTAGGCCATCAGAGCTTCCAGTGAAACAACTAGATGGGCTCAAACCACCAGCCTTCAAGCACTTAACCTTAGAGAGAACTAACTGTAAAATACTTTTTGAGGAGCTAGACTATAATGATCTCCAAGATGAGTTTACAAATTCTAAATATTTTTCTTTTTGAGTGAGGCAAAGGACAGTGACCTGCTTGACCCCTTGTTTATTAGACAAACTAAAAACAAACCAAGACAACAAACCCAAACAACTCAGACAAGCCCTTCACTGTCGTCAAGTTGGACCCTACTCATAGATGACCCTCCAGTGAGTTTCTAG